TAAAAATTATTGAGGGTTACCGTTTTTATTATTTATTTATAATAAAAAAGGAAATAATTACTAATTATGAAATCCACGTTTTGGAAAAGCTTTAGTAATAGGCGTTTGACCACCTTCAAATCCTCTTCTTGGATTGCGAGTACCGCCTCTTGCTTTTTGTCCTTTTTGTCCTCTTCCACTTGTTTTGCCCACACCTGATGCAGGCCCACGACCTACACGTTTAGGCTGTTTATATTTTAAATAATATTAATAACAATTCTTATTTTTATTCCCATTACAAATAATTGATTTTTTTTAATAATTACTCTTGAAAAAAATCCTCCATACATATATATATTTTTTTTTTTTGGTAAATAATTTAATAAATTAAATTTTTTTCACACCTGAGAAGTGGCTTTTAGATTATCGCTTAAGGTATTTAAACTAATCTTATTTACAGGTGGTTTTATAAATATTGATGTGGTTGCGTAATTTTTCGTTATTTGATGTTTTGAAATATTAGGTGTATTGTTGTATTTTAATACGTTTGTTAATTGTTTAGTTAAAATAATTTTTGATTTATTATTAAAAGTAAATAATAACAAAGACTTGGAAAAACGAAACATTGTCGCAAGAATGGTAATGGAGAAAAATGGTTGAAAATTTTTTATATAAATAAATTTATTTTTGATTATCCAATCGATGCTTATAATTTGTACGACGGGGACTGCATTAAAAAAAGCTTTAAAAAGATGGGTGGGTATCACTATAAATGAAAAAATGCCTCGTAACCTTGCACCTGTTGGTTTTCTTTCCTCTTCTTTTCGTTTTGAATTGTTTTTAAGACAAACAAATTTTCAATGTCAACCACAACAATAAAACCTGTTATTTATTATAACGGTCGATTTCATTTTGTCGAAGAGGATTGTGCTTCTAAGTTTCATTTTGATACAGAATATGCTATATTTCAAATTTATAATTTAAAAGTAGGTTATAATATAAATTTTTTTTTGTAGGTTTGTTGATCAACACTTCCATTCTGATGGGAGATTATATATATGTGTGTATATATATATATATAATATTCTTACCACTTCTTCTTTTGAAGATGTTTCAGGTTGACACCCAATTAATCTGAGCAACTCTTCTTTTTTCAACTGTAATAATAAAATATTTATATAATTAAAGACTTATGATAATAATGGAAAAA